TTTTGTCTCTAGTGTCCATAACAATTTTTAAAGCTTTTATGTCTTCCAGTCTTTCAATCTCTACCACAGAGTGTGGACAGTCGGTATATGTTAAATGGAGACATACAATGTCTCTCTTTCATAGCCTGACTTACTTTTTCAAGCCTAATGTTTTGCTCCTTTGTCTTCCCACTCTATCCTTATCCCTTGCCTATCCCATCACCTCCTCCCCCTACAAAAAGAAACAAATTTTTTCAAGACCCGTGGCTGGGATGGTGGTTAAAGGCACGAGACTTCCACACGGCCAACCACAGTTCAAGTCCCAGACCTGGTGGCTTACTTTCTCACTTTCCCCCTTTGTCTCTCTCTCTCTGGTCAAATTAAATAATAATAATAAATAAAGCTAAATAAAAATAATTTTTAAAAGTCAGTGATCCCTTTTGGAAAGAAAAAAAAAGAAACTAAATTTTTCAAGTACCTCCATGGGATACCTTGTTTCACATAAGCCCTGGTTAGACATGGGCTCTCCTTCTTGAATTTTCTATGGCAAACTGCTTCCAGCTGTGCCTTGGGGTAGGACACCACCACAATAAAATAGTGTTAGCTGAGGATTTCAGCTGCCATGGGAATGGGGACACTCAATGGACGCTATTTAGCAAGGCTGCTGGTGAAATGGTGACAAACGGTGTGCTGGCTTTCTTCCTGTGTCTGAGGTTTAGGACTAGTTGGTCTCGCTGTCACTGGCACTTTCTTCTGTGTTACCAGCCTTTTCCACAAGGAACATCTGTTACCACCCCTCCTGCAGGGCTATGGCAGCCAGCTTTGTGCTGTGGACAGAAGACATTTGTTGGTTCAGTGGCTCATGCTTGAGGCTCCTGACAAGCATGGACATTATAGTCAACCCATGCTTCAGAATTTATGTTTAGTTTTATTAAAGGATTCTCCAAGTAACTAAACACTTTTTCTTCTTAGAGCGTTATCAATTTACCCACACAAATAGACTGAACTGTTCCTTCTTTTATCTCTGGCCACACGCAATAAAATTAGGCATGTTTGCACACGATTAACCACAGAGTGGTCCCAGTAACTCGTGCTTTGCCTCAGGCTCAGCCCAGGGTCACCTCCTTGTTACCTTCACCAGGCCCTTCCTGGATTTGACCAAGGCTCTCAGAAACAATCTCTCTGCGTGTCTCTAACCTCTGCCTCCTTTTCTTCCCTTCCCTTTCTTTGAAAAGCCTTCCTCCTCCGTATGCCTTGGTTCTAGAAATTCCCAACGATTTCTGCTTCAAGGTCCTGAGTAGACTATTCCCTGAATACATGGAACTACAATATGAAAAAATAATGAGACCCAGGCACGGGGAACCAATCAATTCAATAGTCCAAATGTCCCAGCCCCTAGCCTGGTAGTACAAGGAGCTGGATCCCACATGGCTAATTATGTGGTGTGTGTCCTGGACCCAGTAGTTTGAAAAACATGGTGGGCTCTCAGGCATGTGTGAGAGTATGCCCAAAATTCCAAAAAGAGGAATAGCGATGGGATCGCAGCAAGCCCATTCCTCATGGTAAGGGACTGCTTTCTCCTCTCTCTCTCTTTGTCTCTCTGGGAAACATGCACACTCTCTGAAAAATTTAACGAAAACAAAGAAAAAAAGAAAGAAAAGAAAGAAAGAAAGAAAGAAAGAAAGAAAGAAAGAAAGAAAGAAAGAAAAGGAAAGATAGAAGGAAGGAAAGATAGAAGGAAGGAAAGATAGAAGGAAGGAAAGATAGAAGGAAGGAAAGATAGAAGGAAGGAAAGATAGAAGGAAGGAAAGATAGAAGGAAGGAAAGATAGAAGGAAGGAAAGATAGAAGGGCTCTCAGAAACAATCTCTCTGCGTGTCTCTAACCTCTGCCTCCTTTTCTTCCCTTCCCTTTCTTTGAAAAGCCTTCCTCCTCCGTATGCCTTGGTTCTAGAAATTCCCAACGATTTCTGCTTCAAGGTCCTGAGTAGACTATTCCCTGAATACATGGAACTACAATATGAAAAAATAATGAGACCCAGGCACGGGGAACCAATCAATTCAATAGTCCAAATGTCCCAGCCCCTAGCCTGGTAGTACAAGGAGCTGGATCCCACATGGCTAATTATGTGGTGTGTGTCCTGGACCCAGTAGTTTGAAAAACATGGTGGGCTCTCAGGCATGTGTGAGAGTATGCCCAAAATTCCAAAAAGAGGAATAGCGATGGGATC